GCGGCGGCGGCGGCGGCAGAGCCCACCGCCCGGGCCCCGATGAGTAACTCCCGGAATAACCGGGTGATGGTGGAAGGGGTCGGGGCCCGGGTGGTGCGCGGCCCGGACTGGAAGTGGGGGAAGCAGGACGGCGGCGAGGGCCATGTGGGCACGGTCCGGAGCTTCGAGAGCCCCGAGGAGGTGGTGGTGGTGTGGGACAACGGCACCGCCGCCAACTACCGCTGCTCTGGGGCCTACGACCTGCGCATCCTGGATAGCGCGCCCACGGGTAAGTCTTGGCCCCTGGCCCAGGGTCTGCGCGCGTGCGGGGAACGGGCGAGGCCCGGTGGGCGTCGGGACGCCTGGGAGAAGCCCGAGATGGAAAGGGAGAGAGCCAAAGGGATTTTGGGTTCGGTACCTCGTAAACAAAAACTTGCCGAAAAGACACCGCTGCCCCCACGGGAAATGATGGCTGCACCGTCACCAGGATGCTTTCAAGCCTGGAGGGCACAAAGCACCGGGAAAACAACAGACCGTTCCCCTCCTCCTCCTTCTCTAGGGAAAGGGTCTGGAGAGGCCTGTCTAATAAGCCATTGAAATTAATCAGCCACCGAGTGATAACTGTGAAGAGAGGCTTGCCTAGCCATATGGTCTTTAGTTGGCGGGTTACAATTGCCGAGGGGCTTCTGGTACCTCGGATTGTTGAAATGCCAATTATGTATGTATGTATGTATGTACGTACGTAACGTACGTACATTTGTATGTATGGCCTCCTGTAACACATAGAAAGACAGACTTGGAATTAAGTAGCCAAATGTTAATTGGGACTTTGTAGAATGATTTTTCACCTCAATTGGGTCATTACCAGTAGAGGGAAAAACAGTCTAAGCTGCTGAACCATTTCTTTGTGTTAAATACTTTTTCCAAGTGGATTAGACGCCAGATTTTTTTGTGTGTAAGGTTATGTCAGAGACTTACCCATTCACAGGAGTCAGTTTGATTCACAAAATTTCAGGGATCTGTTATTGATTCTAGAATTTTTATGTAATGGGGTAAACTGAACTTTATTTTATTGGATTATTTTAATCAAGGCTATATTTATAGATTTGTCCATGATATCTATTTAGTTGAAAATAATTCAAATTTAAAATTTGTTACTTTTCAGAGTGCATAAAGAAGCTACTTTAAAAAAATTGAGGTATCATTGACATACTAGTTTTACGTGTATACATAATGATTCGATATTTGTACATATTGCAAAACGATCATCCCAGTAAGTTAACCTCTATCACCATCCATAGTTGTAAAATTTTTTTTCCTTTGTAATGGGAACTTGTAAGATTTACTCTCTTAGCAAGTTTCAAATATTCACTACAGTGTTATTAATTGTAGTCATCATGTAAAGTACACTTTACATCCCATGACTTATTTATTTTATGACTGAAAGTTTGTACCTTTTGACACCCATCACCCATTTCACCCACTCTCACTCACCTCTGGTAACTACCAAGAGGTAGTTTCATTATATATATATATGTGTGTGTGTGTGTGTGTGTATATAAAATGGAAAGAAATGTAAGAAAGTAAAGGATAAAGAAAATGTGCCATATACATATATATGCCATATATATATATATATATATATATATATATATATATATGGCACATTTTCTTTATCCTTTCATCCATTGATGGACATTTAGGTTGTTTCCTTGTCTTGGCTATTGTAAATAATGTTGCAGTGAACATGGGAATGCATATATCATTTAGAATTAGTGTTTTCATTTTCTTCCATTAGTTACCCAGAAGTATTGCTGGATCCTATAGTAGTTCTATTTTTAATCTTTTGAGGCACTTTTCCATATTGGCTACACACATTTATGTTCCCACTAACAGAAAACACCTTGTTTTTGTCCATATCCTTGCCAATGCTTGTTATTTCTTGTCTTTTTGATAGTAGCTGTTCTAACAAATGTGAGGTGATACCTCATTTGTGGTTTTGATATGCATTTTTGTGATGATTAGTGATGTTGAGTATTTTTTCATGTGTCTTGTTGGCCATCTGTATGTCTTTGAAAAAATGCCTCTTTAGATCCTCTGTCCATTTTTTTTTTTTAAATTTTTTTTAACGTTTATTTATTTTTGAGACAGAGAGAGACAGAGCATGAACGGGGGAGGGTCAGAGAGAGAGGGAGACACAGAATCTGAAACAGGCTCCAGGCTCTGAGCTGTCAGCACAGAGCCCGACGCGGGGCTTGAACTCACGAACCGCGAGATCATGACCTGAGCTGAAGTCGGACGCTCAACTGACTGAGCCACCCAGGCGCCCCTGTCCATTTTTTTTTTAAGTTTATTTATTTTGAGTAAGAGAGCGTGAGCAGGGGAGGGGCAGAGAGAGAGAGAGAGAGGGAGAGAGAGAGAGAATCTCAAGTGGGCACTGCGCTATCAGTGCTATCAGTGCAGAGCCCAACCTGGGCTCGTTCTCACGAACTGTGAGATCGTGACCTGAGCTGAAGTTAGACACTTAACTGACTGAGCCAGCCAGGCACCCTCTCTGTCTATGTTTTAATCAGATTTTTTTTTTTTTTTTTTTTTTTTTTTTTTTTTGCTGTTGAATTGTGCAGGTTCTTTATGTATTTTAGATAGTAATCCCTTATATGTATTACTTGCAAGTATTTTCTCCCATTCAGTAAGTTGCTCTTTCCTTTCGTTGATTGTTTCCTTTGCTGTGTAGTGGCTTTTTAGTTTGATGTATTCTCACTTGTTCATTTTTGCTTTCGTTGCTTTTGGCATCAAGTCCAACAAATTCATTGCCAAAATCATTGTTAAAGAGCTTACTTCCTATGTGTTCTTCTAGGAGTTTTATGGTTTCATGTCTTAATGCTAAAGTCTTTAATACATTCTGAGTTAATTTATAAGTAAGCTACTTCTACGGCTTGATGATTGAGTTTGACAAAGCTTAACAAATCTGAAATGGGTTTATATTTATTATTAGCAGCAACAAAAAGGAAACTAACACAGGCCAACTCAGTTTTTTTGAACAGATAATTCATAAAATTGTGTTTCTTAGCTGGCTTTTTAAACATTGAGAAGAATGAATATGCATGCCCCAAAGAAAAGATCCAACAGTACAAAAAGGGATAGCTATTGATATCACCTTCTTGTGTATTCTTACATAATACTCTATTTATTGCAAGCATATTTATTAATATACTGTAAATCTACTGCCTTTTAAAGGTACAAATGGTAGTACACTATATTCTCTTCTGCACTTTTGTTTCTTTCACTTAATAGTACATATTGGGAATTGTTCCATGTTATTAGCACATATAGGTCTACCTTATTCTTTCATAACTGCATAGTATACCAGTTGACTGGATGTAATAATTTATGTAATGTGTTTTATTGATGGGCATTTATATTGTTTCAGGTCTTATTTACAATGATGCAGTGAATAAATCCTATGCATATGTACTGAGTACTTTTTTTAATTTAAAAAACATTTTTTTAATGTTTATTTACTTTTGAGAGAGAGAGAGAGGGAGGGAAGGAGTGGGGGAGGGGAAGAGAGAGAGGGAGACACAGAACCTGAAGCAGGCTCCAGGCTCTGAGCTGTCAGCGATAGAGCAGGACGCAGGGCTTGAACTCAGTGAACTGAGAGATCATGACCTGAGCCGAAATTGGACACTCAACTGGCTAAGCCACCCAGGCACCCCAGTGCTGAGTACTTCTAATGTGGAATTGCTAGATCAAGGGGTACACATATTTAACATTTTGATAGATGTTGGTTAACTGCTGTCTAAAGACATTTTACCACTTTACACTCTCAACAACACTGTATGAGGCATGTACCTGTTTCTGCACACTCTTAAAATTTTATCATGCTAGTTCAAGCTAAAGTTTGACCACAACTAAATAATTTGGAGGCATCTTGGTGTCAGTAATTGCAGGTTTATGGGGAAATTTAAATATCTTTCCAGGGTAAAGTGTAACAAATCCTATACTACAGCAGTTTTTGAAGGGGTGTTAATGTTGTCTGTGTGTTTTGTGGTATGGAGTATATCTGTCATAAATAGTTTCATTATCTTTTATAAAAGCAGGTGTTTTTAGAGGTAATTTTTTAAAAAATCTCAGTTTAATTTACATGACTTTATACATTTAATTTGTAATATGTAACAATTCATCTTGTTCATCTGATTATTTTAGCAGACGTTTTAAAAGCATTTCTAGGGACGCCTGGGTGGCTCAGTCGGTTGAGCGTCCGACTTCAGCTCAGGTCATGATCTCACAGTCTGTGGGCTCGAACCCCACATCGGGCTCTGTGCTGATGGCTCAGAGCCTGGAGCCTGCTTCCGATTCTGTGTCTCCCTCTCTCTCTGCCCCTTCCCTGCTCATGCTCTGTCTCTGTCTGTCTCAAAAATAAAAACATTAAGAAAAAAAAAATTAAAAAAAAGCATTTCTAGATACAGGATAGCTAGCCTTCTTATGCAGTGCTGTTGAAATATTTTAATTTCTATGATTTAATTTCTTCACTTTTATTTTGTTTTCCTTAAAGGATTGAACAGATCACAAGTTCTTAGATCTAATTTTGCTCCAGGACTATAATACTACTTCCAATTTTTTTTCTCTTTTTTCTTCAAAATATTTAACAATTAATATCTGTTGGTACTTTATTATATTCTTGAGATTTATTAAATATTACATTTATATTGTACTTGATATTTATTTACATAATAGTTAAAAATAAATTTAACCTTTTTGAAATAATTTCAGGTTTACAAAAATTATAAAATTAGTAAAAAGACTTCCTTTTTGCCCTTGCTCATCTTCAGATGTTAACAGCTTACAAAGTACAATTACTGAAACCAGAAAAATAACATTAATATTATACTATTAACTAATCTACAGACCTTATTAAGATTTCATCAGTTGTCCTACTAATGTCTTTTTTCTGGTCCAGGATCCAATCCAGGATCACTCATTGCATATAGTAATTGAGCTGCATATGAACTGTCAAATTCTCCAGCTTGTCGGTCTTTATTCTTCTATTTTTTCACTTTATCAAGGTTCTTAATGTTTTGAATTTTCTTTGTTCCAAACAGCAGCTCAAAGTTCCAGTCATTCTATACTGTTGAAGCCAAGCTTTGCTGTTGACAGAGATATGACATTGTCATATCTAAACTATCAGATCTTACCCAAAATTCAAATTACTGAAAACTTACCTCATATATGTAAAGCTTCTTTTGTTTTATTGGTTAGGGGCAACATAGATAATTGCATTACCAGGTG